TAGTGCTAATTGACATCACGTCGATTTTTCTCGGAGTGAAACGGAAAGGGGCGAGAGCTATAGGAGCAGATTGTCAACACGGGGTGCAATGGCAAAGCAGGGTCATTCGCAGTATGGCATACGGCCGTGACGGTAGCGAGAGTTGGTTGACGATGTTCGGCATGGCATGCCGAGCTTGCACGCCCGATTAGGCGCCAACGGGTACATATTTTTGCACCGGGATTGCTCAGGCAGCATCAGATGCCAGATAGGATGGCCATATCAGCAGATAGTATGGGTAGCTGCTGTGTGAGGCTGCATACAAATAGTCGGTCGGGACCAAGAACGCGTCATCTCGGTTGATCGGTTTCCTTATTTGGGGTGTGCAAGCTGACATCTGCGCATCGCGTTGGACACTTCTTGCCTTTATCGCTCTCACTACTCTCTCAACCAGTCTTACATTTTCATACTACATACTCAGGACCTTTACGTCTATCTCAATACAGCCATCGAAAAAACTCCGCGAAAAAAGACGAGCGAATCGTTGCACGAGCCATTGTAGTTTGCGCGTGCAAGCTGACGGCCAATGACTGTATAGGCACAAGAAAAACGCACACGCGCAGCGGATCAAAAGCGGAATGGCTGAATCCGACCGAGCCTACGCATTGCATAATCATGATCCGAGTTCAAATCGGCCACGTGTCTCACTACACGTGTCGCGCCTCACTGGAGCAAAATTATCAGTATTCTCTTCACATACGACGACGACCATCGAATCACTTCCGGCTCACGGAGACTTGAGACCTTCATCACGTTCCCGTGGCCTTTCTATTTTCCGGCCATGATGTTGACGGGAGAGCTATATGATGGCCAACGCACATACATTCCTGCGACCTGACTCCAAGTTCATGGGTACAGATTGACTTCATTCTTACTGTCAATGAAGCCAACAAGGGTGATCAACTAGAGCTCTCCAGGCATCTGCGCATATCCCGAGAGATGAAATAAAAGGTTGGCCTTCACGTATACAAAATGCCACTGAGACGTTGAAAACGCGCGCCGGCGCTGACTTTGCTGGCCCCTGTTCATCGCGTCTGAGCACGGCTGGTCCTGGTCCTGGTCCTGGTCCTATCTGCAGTCCAATACCATGCTCTAGTCCGGTGCATACTTTCATGTGATAAAGCGCATCAACAGGTATATAATCAGTCTTTGCAATGCTGTGGTATCTCCAGTGTTCTCATCCGGCGAAAGCCAAGATGAAGGATACGTTGCGGGGCTGGGCTCGGGATCCTGCCAGTTTACGCTGTCTGCAGACCCGAACTCGGTTGTCGGTTTTATAGCCACTCTCTACCGTCTTACCCCTGTGGAGACGTGAGGCCCGCGGTGTATCCGGGCAGCGTCATTCTGACGATGGCCCTGCGTGTGGTGTGGTACGACGTAGGTGCACCCTGCGTCGCCCTGGCCCACCGATCATCTCCTCGTTCTCAGGCGAGTGACGCCCTAGAGGCGTGAAGAGCACCAGCCTATGTGGTGGTTCTTGAGGCCGTGCCTCCCTGGATTTGGGGCGCGGCCAGACGGAGAGCATATTCGCAGGCATCTCGTAGGGGACGTCGGGATATCTCGTAGGAAACTCCGGGATATCTCGAAAGAAACCACGGGATGTCATATGCGCGTCTTTGACGCGCGTCGGCAAGGCGGTGACGATTGATCCTAATATCTGGTGGAGAGGACTGCTAGTCTTCATCGGTGGATTGATCGACCACTGCCTAATGACTGCAATATGTTCAGGCGGCGCTGCTTCGTCGGCGTGTCTTGCCGTGTGTTGGGAAGGCTAGCGAGCGGTGCACGCTCTGCCAGTATCTTCCGAGCCGTCCGTCCTCGATTTCGATCGAGATGCGCCCAAGCGGCTAGGTCTCTCTTGAGACGCGACCGGCTACGTCTGACTGCACTTGCTGGTGGTGGCGGTTTGTAATTCTGTCTGTTTCTGGGGTGCACGTATGGGAGGTGGATTCTCGGTGTTTCGCTGAGTTTCTTTGCGGTGACTATCTTCGGATCTATGATGCGAGTTTGGGCGGAGAGTGCATTTGCAGGCAAACCGAGGGTCTCGGGATGCTATATGTGTGTCATTGACGCACGTCTGAGAGTCGAATACCGCCGATCTGGTAGTCTATGGGGACCCCTGGCCAAGGTTTTCAGCGGCTCCTGGGCCGACGGGGATTCGACTAGAGACTGCAGGTGTACTCGGGCGGCGCTTCTCTGTCAAGCGTGTCATGCCATGTGCTGGGGAGATCAAGACCGGAGAGCATTGCACGCCGCTCTCCGGTCCTTGCCCAGCCGTCCGTCCATCAGCCTCGTTCGGGTTCACCGGTGTCGGGGCTAATGTGGACGCTGTGAATGCTGAGCGCAACGCGCCTTCCCCATTATTGTAGGGGGTTTCTCCATCTTCCTGTCTGGCGCCTTCCCAGCGCATGCCCGACTCCATCAGGGCTGTGGTGTAGGCTTATTCAAGCCCCCATTCACGAGGAGTACCGATGCCATTCTCTTGTACAGACTTTATGATTCCTCGCTGATGTTGGCTTAGATCTTTCGGACGTCATACATCTCCTCAAGATCTTGTTCACTCAACACCGGAGCATCTCTTATTCGTCTTTTGTCACCTCAAGCTCGCATTATACCCACACTGGGCCTTTCTAATCGCCCTTCGCCCTTCAAGCTTCAAAGCCCGACGCACCCCACGCTCGCCCATCCTTCGCACAGCGGCATACCACGATACGGCGGGCCGATGCCGATTCAGCACACTCTCCTCGCACAGCACCGTTACGCCCTCACGCTCGCCCACCCTCAGCCATCGCAGCCCGTCGCTGACATCGACGCTGACCAACTCCGCTCTCTCGACCCGAAAGTTCGTGCATCTGCCCAGCCGTCCACCCATTGCACCAACCTCTTTCAGGTTCATCTATTTCTATGCCGATTCGGATGGTGTGTATAGTGAGGGCGACGCGCCTGCCCGATCGTCGTCGACGGTTATCTCTTGAGTCTTTTCTTTGGCATCCTCTTCAGCGTACGCTGCTCTGATCTCGAAACCATATTCTGGCAGAGTTATCGCTCTATCCATGGGGAGTACTTATCCCACGGCCTCGTCTGATTTACTCTTCACTGACGATGTATTGGACCTTCCAGACGTCGCGCATCTCTTTCAGTCAACGTCGCGTCGACCGTCGTGGTCCGTCGCTGCCTTCAAGCTCACATTTCAATGCTCACGAGCACCGCCTGGCCTCGACGCGGGCTCTCGCGTCTTCGGGCCCAAGCTGGCGTTTCTCTCGGGCTCAGCGCCGCATTCATCACCCGTCAAGCTTCGAGGAGCTATCGCACCCTGCCATCCTAGTCGGCGTCAAATCGACCGCGGCCGTGTACCGTTACGCTTTGAGCGCCAGCTACCTACGCCGCGCCGGACGAAGGCGCGGGTCCTCCCTCGCGTTGCGCGCCGCGGCCGTCCGCACGCTCGAGCACCTCTTCCGCCGCATCGGCGCTTCCGTCGGCGCCCCGCCTGACGTCGGCGCCGGCGAGTCCATATCCGTCGCGACCTTCCTCGTACGTTTTCGCTTTACATGTCTGCACTCGTACTTCTCTGACCATCATGCAGGCCTGCCCTCGTCGCGATGGGCGCAAGAGCGCTCCATGTCTCGTCGCCTCCTTGTTCGTGTCTGCCGTTCACGTTCGTTGCTTATCCCGTCGTTTCAGTTGTACCTCGCGTCGCGCGCGCGCCTTCTCTCGCGAGCGATCGCTCTTGCTGTCTCCGCTTCGTAATGCTCCGTTGTATCATCGTTTCCGCTCGCAATGCACGCACTTCCTGCTTCTTCGCTTCAATACCGAGTGAACTTTCCGCGAGAATGTGAACATCATCCACGCTTTCTACAGCCTCCGGACTTTACTTGAGAACTTCATCACACATCACACAACGCAGTAAAAGTACAATCCGCAGGAATGATATTGCTCGCAAACCACCCTAAGGATAAATGCCACTTGGGCCACTATGCTACAACTGGCCACGCAAGCGCAAACCAAACCAAGACACCGAAAAGACCCGTACGCAGTACATTCGAGAACAGTCAAGCGATTAATCGTGCCAGCATCGTTAAGAGAGATCGAGAAGGTCGAATGGGCACCGCCCCGTGGTGTCAGTATGCCGATGCCGATGATGTATAATGATACAGAGTTGATGAGTCGTGTTTTCGTCAGGTTTTCTAGGTGCGGTCAGTCGAGAGCAAGTGGGGGTCGTATTCCGCCTGCTGGTCCGGGCGCGTCGAGCGCACCGGCGGGTTGAGTCGTCGTCATGCCTCGCAGAGGCTGCGCGGGAGGGTGGCGTGTGTGGTGGTTGAGGGTCGTAGCGGGGGGCGGTGGCCGCTTAGAGGGGGAAGACGGTGCTGCGGACAGCCGTCGCCCACTTCGTGTCCGCGTGGGGGTACTCCCAGCTCATGACTGTGAACACGTAGTCAATGATCAGATCAAATGTGCGGTAACACGGAGAGAACGTACCACCAGCGTTCCAGCCCTTAGCCTGCGCCTGCTTGACACAGCTCGCAAGCGTAGAGGTGGAAAGGAAACCGTCGCTGGCGTCCGACGCAATGCCGGGCTTGCCAATGACGATCTTGTTCAGATCCACACCGGCGTCCGCGATCTGCATAACGGCCGTGTTGGGGAACGACGAGCCGGACTTGGTGAGCAGACCCTCGCAGTCGGTGTACATGTCGGTGCCCTGGTTGTAGTACTGAATGTTGTACCAGTCAATGTCGTCGCCGACGGCCTTGTCGATCGCGAGGTAGCCGCCGTTCTCGTACGAGTCGGAGAACCACGGGGCGACGGGGGCGTGCGAGATGGTGTATTGGCCGGCCGGGAGCTTCTTGCGGAGTGCCTTGGTGAAGGTGTTGAGCCACGTCTGGGCAGCAGCGCCCTTGTTGAACGCGTCGAAGTCCTCGTAGTCGACGTCGATGCCGTCTGAGCGAATTCGTAAGCACGATACTCGGGATTACATAGAAGTATTGTTGAGAAACTAACCGAGGTCGTACTTGATCACCCACTCGGCCATCGTGTTGGCGGTCGAGGTGGGGTCAGTTCCGTCTGTCGTGGGCGACTCGGTCTCGCTGGGATTACATGAGAATTGTAAACTGGCGATATTGGAACGAGCATTACTTACCCGAAAGCGGAAACGATGACGCTGATGCCGGCGTCATTGTAGGCCTTCTTGGCAGCCTTGCGGTCAGAGTCGGACAAGTCAGCCCAAGTCTGAGCCTGGTCGGCTGGGCCACTCGCGAGAAGGAACGAGATCGCGCTGTAAGAGATCAATCAGTTTCCAGAAGCGCTCAAAACACTATATTTAGACGTACAGAGTGTTGAAGCCCTTGATGTCGTCGACGTCGGGGAGACCATTCTTGCTCGAGACGGACTGGTCGGTGTAGACAACGAAGCGCGGGGAAGAGCCAGACGAAGAGGAACCGGTGGACGTGGACGAGGCAGCAGATACGCTAGCGCTAGCGGTGCCAGTCGACTTAACCGAGCTCGACTTGGTCGACTTGGTGCCGGTTGCCGATGCGGACTTGGTGGTGCCGGTGGCGGTGGGCAGGTCAGTGACGGTCGAGCTGTGGTGGTGACCGTGGCTGAAACTTGCGGTCGAAGTCGCCTCGGGGATGCCTACGGAGACACCGACGGAGATATCGGCGCCAGAGTCCGCAGAGGCGGTCTTCGCGGCGCGCTTGGCGGCATTGCAGACCTTGGCGGAAGCGGCGATGGGAGCGGCAGTGACGGGGCCGACGAAGAAAACGGCAAAGCAAAGGATGGTGGTAAGGCAGAGCATCAAAGGAGAGGCGTGCATGTTTGCGATGGAGCGAGTGTGCTTGCTGGAGAAGCGTGTGGGAATTCGGTATACCAGAGACCGAGAACCGGAGAGCGGGCGGAGAGGAGGAAGAAGGGAGAATAAACGGAGAGGAGGAGGGAGAGGAGGGAAGCCGAAGCTAGAGGAGCCGCAGCCATGGGCGGGGCGCCTTAAGTATAATCGCGTTTGAACGAACAAAAAAGTTCACACACGGGACGCAAGTCTCCGTTTGTGGAGCTCCAAACTTACACTCTCGCGACATCCGTCAAAGCCTAAACGTACTTCTTCGCATGTCTTCTGCGCGGCCATCATTCCTCCCATGCCTCAAGGTGGCCAGAGCAACGACAAGGAGGATGAACGGAGGCAAAAAAAGGCAGAGAAAACGCGGCAAGAAAGAATGGACCGCCATTCCGCAGTCAAGTCGCGTCGAAGGACGGCGAAGAGCCCACACAGCAGCGAGCACCCCTTGGAGCTCGGTTGCACGTTCTGAACAGATGAGATGATCACCGGCGGCGACGAATCGCGATGGGCGCTGTCCGATATAGAACAATACCCGCCACGAACGCTTGTTTGGTACCCCGAGAAATGGAGGGCGCTCTCGCGTGCCTGATGCGAACAAGCGCGCCCACCCCTATTGTCCCGCCGAACACACAATGCACATATATTTCGATGTTCGAACTGGACTGGATGCTCCAGACACCTATGCGGCAAAACGAGACCGGGCTCGGCCCGTGGAGTACGATGGCGGGGCTGTTTGACGTGGAGGAGGAGTGGCAACCGGCGTCGGGCGTTGCGGACGTTGCCTCGCGCACACGTGTTACCACCTTCCTCTTTTGGTATACGCGTTGTCCGAACCTTTCGCTTCAACTTCTCGACTTTGTCCTTCCTTGCCTGTCAAGCTCATCTTGACCACTTCACTACTTGGCTTGAGCACGATGCATGTAGGCACCACGCGAAGTCCGAGAAGGACAATGACTTCTAATCAACATGTACAGCGACGACAGATTGATGTATCTATACTCGGCTCGCGTTACAGCGTGGCGCAGCCATTGGATATCGGTCTACACAGCTGCGGGCGGTGGACAACTCAGCCCGGCCGTACTATTCCGACCCCAGAAGTGGGACGGCGTGCGCGCGAAGTGGGACAGGAGAGATCTACCCGCTCGAGAATTCGGAAAAAAATGCGAGTAGTGGGATTTAGGTATCCAACACTATCTACGAGAACAGATCATTTTTTATCAGTGCGGTGAAAGAGCTATAGGCGTAGAGAATGTGAAACGCGTCGTTTCGCGGGTGGGAACTTACGTCTTCGCCGCGAGCCACACTGACCACTTTATAGCTATTCCCGTCCACCATTTCGTTGTATCGCCCATATATTTCGCAGGTAGCCCCACGATTTACATACAAGTAAGCACAGCTCTTTTTCCCTACCGTCCTACGTCTGAATCTCCCGGCCCTGACGATTATTTCCCTTTGATGGGACTTTGATGCAGCTGGATTTCGACGTTTTGGCATACTATGGCCCTGCAAGTGAGCGTACGACTACAGTACTTGGAAGGCGGGTAGATAGAACGTGAGTGCACATCACTCAAAAATCTCAAAGCCGTGAGCAGAACGGATGGGATACTACATAGCTGCCAAAGCGCCGTCCCACTTCCTGTCCCGGTCCCATTTCAGGGGTCGGAATAGTACTTTGACGGAGAGAGACGACCGGTGCGGTGATCGTCGTGCGTAACGCCGCCCATCAGGGCAAGGTCGACACTGCTTTGCGGGTGCTACGTACGAGCATGACCAGATCTACAACCACATGAATTGGCGTATATACGGTTGCGCTACGTCGAAGGAGGACAACATCCTCAAATCTAGCCTTTGTCGTTATGAGCACTGTCTTAACGCCACAAGTTTTTCAGTTCATGGCGAAGTGACAACGGGCGCTGTCTGCGGACAATTGTGGCTCGTAGTCGACTACGGTGGACGCCGTCTCGCTGCGCGCTTGTACCGGGACATCGATCTATTGTGATGGTGTTCAGACAGCGCGACGTAGCTAGGAGGGCCACGACCATCCTAGGCCGCAAGGTGTCCGTGTGTTCTCAGTCCAGCGGCGTCGAGGACCGTGAGCGCAGTTCAATCTCATACTCTTTGGGTTGGCCGACGTCGGCAGTAGCGAAGGCACTGAGATAGCATCAGCAACGTCCTCACCATCGCACTGAGTATGAGGACATCCTCACATCGTCTCCGTGTATTCGTGATGGCTTCGATTCGGCGTGAACGTCGTCAGCGAGCGGTAGAAGCGCGTTGCGGCGAGTGCTCTGAATTCAGCACATCAGCGCCTGTACGACACGAAGCCGTGAGATGCCTTACAATATGACAACTACACGTTCAGATGTCAGTACGTATGTACTACTCATAGCGATGAATGGACGTGTGCTTGCCTTCCGGACCCAGAAACATCTTCGTTGACAGCATCAGCATCTCGACCGGACTCAACTTGAGTAGGGCTCACTGTGTTCATGACAGCTAGTACGTACAGTGTCAACTGGATCGGCCCTTAAGCGAGGAGACGCGGACTCACGATTGAAGTTCAAAACCAGAAACACCAATGCAGGAACCTCCGTCGCACTTGCAAGCGCAAGATACAGCACACCCTGGTTCCAAAGCACCGACCACAACTGGAACGCGCGCACACCGCTCCTCGGTCGGTGCCAGCGGTACAGCCCGAGTAGTAAGAGGACGAGCAGGACGGAGTCGCAGATAATGAGCGCGATGACGTTCGCTAGGTTCGAGCGCTCGTGTTCGAGGCTGCAGATGTGAAGGGAGGGGTCGTAGGAGGATGAGATCTATTGGCCCGGGCGATGTCAACACAGTACGGTCTATGGGTGTCGAGTGACGTACGGAAGCGGCGACTGGGAGTGCAGTCAGCATGAGTTGACGTTCATGAGGATGGGAGGACTCACTGCGGATCCCGGTTCCGAAAACGGCAAGAAGTACGAGAACGATGAGAGCTGTCACCTTCGGATTCCAGGTCCAGACCACCAAACTGAAGGAGATGTGTCTAGTCAGCGCGCTGAACATATTCGAAGCGTACGGGGTACTCACACACGTATGGCAATCAAGGCTGACGAGCAGGTCGCACCTAGGAAGCCGGTGCCCTGACGTGACTATTGAGCACCGTAACGGGGTTTCACACGCAGCGGAGCCATACCGTCGACAACTTTAGTAACGTCTGGGCGCAAACGTTAGATCAGGAGGTATGTAGGCGTTGGTGTGGGCTTCATACCCAGCATGGTATCTCCATCCTCTCAGAGCGGAAGTTGGTATATGTGTGGACGATGCATGACGCGAGAACGAGATACCGGCAGGACAGATATATCTGTGCAAAGCGATGAGAGTTGTAGAGACTAGGACAGCAAGATCTCTGCAGACGAACCGTTTTCACGCCTCTCGCACACAGCGAAGCTTGCTGCTTCCGCAGGCCATCCGTTCCGGTTAAAAGGCTCCAGTCGAAGGGTAAAGAGCAGACGAAGTCGTAGCTGAGGAATGGCGTCAGTTGCTATCATCGGCCAATCATTGGCAGGCACGTACAAGTACACCCCACATAGCGCAAGATACATCTTCTCCAGAGCAGCTGCGACACTTGTCAGCTACAGATGTCGTACAGCAAATGACGACGTGCGACGCACCGAGTTGATTCGCGATCGCCGCGGGGTCATTCCAGTTGACCATCTTGTACAGTACAGGGTCTGCGGTACGTACAAGCTCGCATGCCGATGGGACGGAGCTAAAGGTCAGGCATAGACAGCGAGTAGGAGCTTAAGTACATCGGCGCGCCCGCCACCATGGTTCGGAACAGGGCCCTCCGGTGCAGAAAATCCGTCACCATCGAACTCTAATAAGCTCCCACAGTCGCTCCAGGCTATACGAGCATGACGCGTTCTGAGGTTTGAAGTGCCATGGGAGATGATAGCACCGACATCATCCTCTCTAGAATGAAAGGTGTATGCGCGCGAAAGCCGGGTAAGGCTGGGTGGAGTGCAGGGCGGGAGCACCGCATGAGCGCGTCGGAACGACCATCCCGCCTCGGCGACGGACGGGATATAGTGGTGCTGACTCTTGAAAAGTTCTGGAAAGTAGGAAGGGGAGTATGAATGAGTCCTTATTGGGATGAGCGATGTGCTGAGCGCACTTTGGGCGCTACTTATCTTCCGACCGCCGATGCGCACGGCGTGTATCACGGAAGACTGTTGGGATAGCAAGGCGATATGTACTGCGTGTGAAGATGCTATGTCGCATCGGTTCACTATCGGGCATCCACATCCCAGATAGAGTCGAGAATATCCTAGGCGCACCGACATCGTTGTCTGGGACAAGACATGCCGCGCGAGTCGCGCGCCAACTGCGTGCGCGTGAAGCCAACCCTAACCCCAATCCTCCCGGCCGGACATCTCGGCCATTGGCTTATCCTCTTCATATCCATCCGTAGGTCTAAATTCGAGAATGTACGTATCGCTAAGAGCCAGGCTCAGATAGCCGCTCTCGGCTACGCTCACTCGGCGTGGTGGAATGGGTAGTAGTTAAGGAATAAGGCTATGACGACGGTCTGTCGAAACGCAACATGGATACAGATGACACGCGCACAGGTTGCCCATTCAGCGCTCTATGTGTTTCATTTCACACCGCTATTCTCGTACACTCATCATCATAAGCACTACGCACAGAGCTCAGAAGCCCCCTCCTCTGCTACGAATCTTACCCCGACATCGACGGTCGCGAATCGACTAAACAGTGAATACTCAATTGGTAATCCATGCACGCTTGAAGGCAAGGGCGTTCCACGTACATCCTTTCCGTAAAGCTATCATGGGTATGATTTGGCGTGAACTTGCTCAAGGATCGGTAGAAATGCGTCGTAACGATAACTCTTCGACGACTTTGAGAGGCTGCCGGCGCGTCGCGTCTAACTGAAGCACTTACAGTATGATAACTGGGGCACCAGTAGGACATGAGCAAGCGCGGCTGCACTCTGAGCCAAGGAAGCGCTTACCCATCGGCCGCAAGAGCATCTTTATGCGGATGAGCAGCTGTCAGGCTTGCGAGCACGACATGTAAAACTTACCGTATCCATGACCGCTTGGGTGATGTTTCAGTCAATGATACTTCTCGGACTTTCGAATCTCAATCTGAATGAGGCTCACGGTTGAGATTGAAAAATAGAAGTACCTGAGGAAGTGGCTCGTCAACTCATACGCACAAGCAGCCGATAAGGCGGACATACCACGGCCGGAATCTCAAGAACCGACGCGAGTGTTAAGTAGATCACTCCCTGGCTCCACAGTACAGACCACAGCCTGAAAGCTCTCACACCTCTGCCGGGCGTATGCCAACGATATAGCCCAGTCAAAAGGCATATGAGGATGGTGTAGTCGCATACGAGGAGCGCGAGGATGTTGGGTAGGTTGGTGTACATAAGCTCCATATCACAGATCTTGAGGATGGGATTATACGAGGACGACAACTACATCGAGCAGAGTTGAATCAATACGCGTCGCGTCGCGGACCATGAGAACGAAGAACCTACGACCAGGAAGACTGGAAATCGTTCGGATCAGCATGGCCGCATAGAAGAAATGCACGTGCTCACTGCGTATGTTCGTTGCTGCGCCTAATACCAGGATGAGGACGATCAGCGTTGCTACGCGCGCATCCCAGCTCCATACTACCATCCTGTCTTGGGAGAGAGAAATCTTAGTACCACCTCTAGAGATTGAGAGTTGAGCAACATACGCGCGAACGCCGATCAGTGCAGAAGAGAACGTGGCGGCAAGGCACGCGGTACCCTATTCACGATGTCCGTTGGAAGATTGCGACGGGTGCGATAGTCGATGTACACGCACAGTTGTGAGTCTCATCAAAACCTGACAACTAGCGTGAGCAGGATATAAGCGGGTCTATGTGCGAGCAACTGACTTGACAGGGCAATGACCCATGGGACGCGCGGAAGAGTATGAAGACTTCCGTGACTGATGAAAGTAGCAAGAGACAACGACAGCAGAGATAGATCTACAAGCAAAGCTCTATGTCAGATCCTGATCAATCGATGAACATGAACGGTACGAACCGCCTTTACACTCTTGGCTAAGAGTGAGCTGCCTTGACCTTCCTTCTGGCGAAGCACCAGGCTCCAATCGAACGGCATGAAACATAGGAAGTCATACCTATCATCCAACCATTAGTCGTATGAAGCTCGATGCCAAGTGCGAAGACTCACAGGTATATCCCGTTGAATATGAGTGATGTCACCTCGAATCCTCCTGTAACCCGGTGGGCCATATCATCTAGAGTTATCGATTATCACTCACTGAATTCACTCGTATCTATCGATGCGATGTCGCGGTCAGCCATGTCAGGCAGTCTACAGGAGGTGGGATGAGTAGGATGTCAAGGCGCGGTTCCTCCACTGTGGACATACCATTATATAGCATCGTATGCGCGTACCGAATAGCATCTCAACACGGGCTTTCGTAACAAAGATGGACTACTCAGAGCCACATAACGGGTGCAAGTATCCCCAAATTCACTGACAGGGAGCATTGGGGCGAGCACCTCTGTCCACGCGGTCATGCCAACGAGAACGGAAAGAAGGAATCCAGCGAGCGCCGAGTCCGCTATACCAAGGCCCTGCAGCCTGTGAGTCGGTCGCAAGGGCCCACGTAAGTAGAGAGGAAACGGAGAGAAGGCGTGTATTTCCCTGGTCCTGTACATATGAGCTTTGGAGACTATTTTGCTCCAACAGTGAGCAGTCTAACATCACAAGGCGGTGGTACGCGGCCTGGACCGGGCTTTGACGCCAGTACAGCGCACTCGGTAGGTCTCAAGCTGCCTCACACGCGATAATAATCCTTCAAAGTAGACCCCGACGATACAGTCGTTTGTAGGCGAGGGACTAGGATTCATGCGCATAGGCCATACTCTGGCCGTGAAACCCAGTCGGTCGGACTACTATATTAGCGCGAGGGGAAGACTTCGTCCTCATGGGGAGCATTGAAAAGGCGTCCGTCGTTCATCATGATGCACACTAAGCCATAGCACGCGTTGTGCAATGAAGCGCCAGATTCGCAGCGCCATCGGACGCTCTCTGCAGTGTCGACACATGCGACGGTCTCTGAGGCGGTATACCACTTGCGACCGGCATTTGGACTCGAGCGCACGACCGATGCGCGAGGTAGTTGTATCAAAGGCCTAGAGCCAGTGCGCTGCTCGAGGGGTGTAGTGATAATCGAAGGGTTGATCTGCCATGGTCGTGGTCAGAGAGTGGTCAGAGTCAAAAATGGGAAACACGTCGAGCCGGCTTTCGGCATTCACGTTTACCGCCTTCACCGGCCGGGCCGCCCGACCGACTCTATGTCTCACGACGTTGGCTGTGAAGGATAGTCCTCAAGCGCCCGGCTCTGAGGGCGTATACATAGGCTCACTGTCAGTTCAAGCTGATGTCTGTACTGCAGTTCTGTCGGTGTCTTCAAACTTAGCACTCATCGAAGTGCATTATCTTGTCGGCGGTCTATCTGAATCCAACTTACCGAAGGCACCCATAGTAGAGCCTCTGTCTTGGTATGAGCTTGCTTAGACATCCACCGTGTAGGATGGACACAGAACATATGCATTGAGAGAAGGGAGAAAAGTACATCAGGAAGTGCAAGGTAATCAACAGACACGAGAGGGGGGGATAGCAGAACACTGGCTTGAAGCGAGATGACGGGACCAAAAGAAGCGCGTTTTAACGGGAACGAGACGAAGACGCTGCCCGTACTGAGAACGAGGCGAGTAGACCACCAAGATGACAGTTCTGCGGAATGGTCAGAGAAGTGAAGGAGCGCGAGTACTATGGATACACGTACGTGAGGGATGTAAACGACACTGCCAGACGATGCAGATAGCGAAGGGGCGATGGAGCGCGCTTGAGGTAAAAAGCGCGAAAGCGGCGGAGCTAGGAGACGTGGGAGGCCACAGAGAGATCAGACGGGAAGGATGTGACGTTGGCAAGTAGAAGAGAACTCACAGCACCGAGGGCGTTTGTCTACCGCAGAGGCGACGAGATAGAGGAATTGCAGCAGAACCAAAGCGCCGAACCAGGGCAGCGAGGCCCGGGGGAGCCCGCCATATCTTGTGGGATGGGGGGCTCAGAAGAGATAGACTGTTTGTGACAGGCTCTTGCAGCGACAGGCTGCGAAGGTGCGGACAGATGGCATCGAAGATGTTGGCGATCGCTTTGGTCAGCACTCAGAGCTACGCGTCGCGGGTAGGGGACAAGGAGAAATATGATACTTGATGCATCTCATACGAGAGCCCGCCGCTAGGACGTATCTCAACCGAAGTCGAGGGGTAGACGGCTGGGCATGGACCGTTCAAGCGTGCACCGCCATTCCGATCCTGCCAGCACACGGCCGACACGCTGAACGAAGCAGCGTCGCCTGAACGCACCGCAGTCTTCAGCCAGCGACAGTCAAGCCTCTGACGGATGAGGGCGGATGCCCCCAAGGGAAAGAGACCCAGCTGCCAGACTCTCAGACGCGCGTCTTTCGACGGAGCATATGACAACCCCAAGATCAAAGGGGATGCCTGCAATGCGCTCTCTACCTGGCTGCACCGAGCACTGGGCAACGGTGCAGCCACGGGACCACCGACTGGGATGGATCGGGGCCCCCGCGCCACTAGGGCGCAACTCGTCCGAAGACGAGGAGACAGTCGGGTGGTCTGTATGGAACGAGGTGCACTCGCGCGGCCCACACCACACACACGGCAAGGGCTTAGGCAGCCCCGCCCGGATGCCCACGGTCCTCGCGTACGGGTACAGGTTCCGCGTGGCCCAGACCAAGGTACACATGAGGCTGACCTAAAGGTCGACAGCCAGCTAGGTCTGCAGCTCGTGTCTTGCGCTCAGAGACATAGCTCGACCCCGTGCAGCATCCACCGTCTAGGCTTGCGCCGAAGCCAGAGGGATGAGATCTTGGGGCTACATTGTGTCCTGTGAAAGTACTTATATTAGCTCAAATTCACATCACATGCTATGGTGTAGAAGTCCAGAGCGATGTCTGAGGCAGCAATAACGCGCCCAGACCGCATACAAGCAGAGACAGTGTTTGGAAGTACGCGGCGATGCGCTCGTCCCGGCGACATTGTGAGACAGCCGACCACCCCTCCAGGCGGCATACAGCGCTCCAAACGCATGGCGCTCAACACGCCCGTTCTTGCTCGAGTTGAAAGCGTTTACTGGTGGGTAATGTCCGTCGCTGCGTTTTACACCGGTTACGGTCAAAGCTCGTGCTGGGCCTCTTAAATCCCGCATCCGTTCACGCGCGCAGTATGTGCGTCAAGGTCGATAGTTCAGATCTTGTCGCTCAGAATTTGGCGAAGCCATCGACGTTGCGGCCAGGTTACCGAACGGAGACAGTGGCGGTCGTAGATCAACAAAGTCGCGTGATCAAGCAAACGCTCGACGCGTCGGGTCACAGTTCTTGTCACGCTGCTCTCCTACCAGCGTCTCGAGTTCCTCGCGCTGTGTCCAGGATGGCTGATTTAGCGCATGCTCGTAGCCCAAGTACGCTTTCAGCACTGATTGCGACTCAGTGCACCCAGGCGCTCGTTTTGCGCATGGAAGCGCAAGCTCGATGACATGTTCCGGCTTCTATCATAACCGCAGACACTTGTCTCGCGGCGCCATCTGCGGGTTGCTCCCAACCTTCAACTTCTTTTGGTCAGATCTCGTCGTCACCATGGCGCACCTGGATCCGCTCTATCCGTGTGTATATTTGACTCGCAGAGTAAATCGTAAACTTAAACGAGCGAATACGAATATATCTATTGGTGATGGTAGTTCAGGACAAACTCAAGTGCGAGCCGGCCATCCTTGCCCGCGAATTCCATGATCAGTGGTCTACCCATGGGACACGATGCGCACTGCACGGACCAGATACAGACTTTTTAACCTGCTCTGGCGAGCTGCGATCAGCTGTCTCTATGACCTTGAGCGCACTACCCGGGGAGAGTGCTTGACGCGTTGCGTCACTTGCCTTGTGAGTAAGTGGTATTGTATCTATTCAGCCTATTGCATGGACTGCGTCAACACCTAAGCAAAGCCGTAGTAAACAAATGGAAAGCACACCATCATCATCATCATTCTCGAAGTCGTCCCAGCACTTATACCCGCCTTCTGGAACGTAATTGCGTGGGAGACCCCGTTTGTAAATCAACGCGTACTGGAGCTTGTAGAAGACTTGGTAAAGTTCGGGATTGGCAGGCTTGTCCACCATAGCGGCGTCGGCGTTCCCGAAGAACAGCCCCGGCGAACGCATGGGGATGCGCCAAAGCGGTATATTGCCTCGAGAGTGTTGATCATAGAAATGAACGAGCCTCGAGGGCGCGTGCATGGAGCCGGATCTCCTGCAGTGTTCGATGATGCAGTATCGGGTAGTATTAGCAATCTGCGGGTCAAGATTGGCTGGATCCTGATCGTAAATGAGGTATGTGGTTGAGGATGCTGTTACTAGAAGTGTGGAAGAGTTGGGAGTACAATCTGCACGAGGAGGTTTGAGTGGGTGGAGTTGATAACAATGGATGAAAGGGGCTGCGCGGCGACGTTCGGGCGTCGAGCTTAAATCCCTTTCGAGGTCTGCAAATACCTAATTCAGAGACAAGCCCCGTGAGTGTAACGTCCCGAAACGGAAGTGTCAACATTTTTCGTATGACAGACATACCATATCCAGAGTTTGCGCCCGCGATGCCTCGTCGAGAGCATTATTGATGACATGTAGGGCATACAGCATGAGAGGTATGCATGGCATTAGGACAAATTTGCGCTGCACGTCGTCCGTGGTCGTGTACAAGCGAAAACATGCCTGGCACGCTATGCGAGATGTCACACAAGGGCTAGCAACGCTTGGACAAGCATAAGGACGTACCGTATAAACCGTTAGCGGCGTCGTGGAAGTCGAGCGCGCGGGTACACAGACCACGCACGCACGCGTTGAACTATCAAGGGCTATCAGATCACTTCAGAAAGATGACCAGATACCAGACACCCTGACCGTGCGGACTCCGTCAATCAGGGGTACGAAGTGCTCCTCGTCGCGCTTCAGGGTGATCTTGCACAGAAAGCACTTGGCGTCGAAGTCCGTTCTGATCTGTGCGCGGGACTTGTCGTCGAAGAAGTCCTCTTGCTCTTTGTATGTGAGCATAGGTGGCCCACCAAGACCGTGGGAGTAGTACGGGGGCATGGCGGGATCGTGAAGATGGAGGTTGCGAGGTAAGGAGCGTGAAACAGGGGTAGGGCCGAGCTGTCGTACAGTAGCTCGCTTCTCGCCGCTCTCTTGTTCCGCACCAACGTCGAGGCAGCTACCGCTAGAGCCACCTCCATACAGGGTGGGAGCTTCAAGATCTGCGCAAGAGTGGCTGTCTTCCCAGGATGCGGTCAACCCATAGCCCTTTATCGCAGGCGCCTCCTCGAGGTAACGAAAATGCAATCCAGCGCCGAACACGGGCCCTCGTATGCCAATGAATCTCGATCGAGCCACCAGAGTGGTTTATGAAAACTTAGTGGCTATGTACGCATTGGTGGTGGTAGTTCAAGACAACGGCCAAGCTAGGCGCGGCAAGCCCGGCTGCACACCGCCCTTCATGCTTCTCACGACCCACACTATTCTCTCAAATCCCCAGATAGCTGCAGAACAGTATTCATATAGAGCGTGCGTATCGTACATCATCATCGTCAGTGCAGAATCGTCGCATACATCAAAGTGTGGGCGCGAGTGATCAGTGAGAGAGGAAAAGGAAAAGCCATAATGGACCATGCGTGTAGGTGGGAGCTAGACTACAAGATGTTCGAGTCGGGATGCGAGTCAGACGAGAGGAGAGACGGGGAGTGGGATGATTGTATGATTGAGAGGCGGGGAGGAGAGAAGGGGAACGAAAAGGAAGGGATGAGATAGTGAGCAAAAGGGTTTTGAGATATAGGAAAGGGTGAAGGTAAAGGAGAGCATATGTGTGTGCGATGCAAGAGCCAAGAGAGTGTCCGGAGTCCGGGGCATACAGTCAAAGGGATGATGGAGGGGGGTATTCGTTGTTTTATGTGGTGAGCATACGAGAGACAGGACGAGCAATGGCACAGCGGAGCGGGAGCAGGAGCAAGCGGGCAGCGAAGCGAAGCGACGAAAGCGATATGGTTGCGGTGGGTCGTAGTCATTCGTATATGCGTTCGTGCGTTGGCGCATCTCAAGCCGGCACCGGCTCCTTCTCCTCAACGACCACATTCTCCTTTTCCTTCTCTTCCCTGACCGGCCCCGGCGGCGGACTCCTCAAGCCCGACAGCTTGCTTGTTACAGAACCCGACGAGCTCGTTCTCCTCACGGCCGACGTTGGTGTTGAAACGCCAGGGCGAGTCGCAGTTGAACGTTGTAGCGACGGTACGCGTGAGTGTCCCGTAGTCGGGGTTCCCGTGCCCGAGGGGCGGGGCTTGAGCTGCGAAGGCGGCGGACCCATTGCGCCGTCGACCCGAGGCTTCTTGAGGCCCGCGGGCGTTGGCGTGCTGAGGCCGGCGTTCACGGAGGTGCTCTTCGTGAGTGTACTCAGGCGACGCGTTGCAGCTGCCGAGGTGGCGGGCTTAGGAGTCGTCATGGTTGATGAAGCGCGGATGACCGATTTGCGGAGTTCGGACTCGGCGCCGGACGACGTCTCCGAGAGGCGAGATGAGGGGCGGGATGCTGACGTTGAGGCGGGCGTGGCAGACGGGACTGACGAGTCTCGCCGGTGGCCGACGAGCGATGCACGGGCGCTGGCTGATGGTGCGGCAGACGCCTGAGTGCCCTGCTTGCGCTTGACCTGGCGGAAAGAAATGCCAAATTAGTCTTCCAGCCTTCATAACAAGACGTAGATAGGTCACGAACCATCTCAAGTTCCTGCTGCTTACTATCGAGCGCAAGATTCATGTTGAAAACGTCGTCCTTAGCATCGTCCCTCTCCTTCTGCGCCTTCTGCAATTCCAGATCCTTGCTCGCGCTCTCCTGGCGCAACACATGCACCGTCTTACGGAGCTTCTCGACCTCCGCCTCGCTCTTCTCCACACGGGACCTCAGGCTTTCCGCCTCGACCTCGGCAGCAGCCTTATCCCTCACGGCCTCCTCAATCTGCATCTTGACGCCGCTCTGTGCGGTCTCGAGTTCCGACGCCGTACGTCTCGCGTCCTCCTTCGCGCGATCAGCCTCACGACGTGCAGACGAGAGTTGCTCGCGGAGATCTTCAACGTCGTCTTCGGACTTGACGAAGCGCTGCGCCAGATGCTCCATCTCCGTGTTGCGCTCGGAGAGGTTACGTTCGGCAATGGCCGTGCTGTCCTTCGCGAACTTGAGCTCCTGCTCGAGTGAATCAACGTGGTCCTGGCGCGCCTGAAGCTCGACCGTGAGCTCGTCGACGCGGTCCTGCTCATCGCGGAGATGCTGCTCGAGTTCGTTCTTGTCCGCCACGAGCTGATCAGCCTGCTCAAGCTCCTCGCGCGCGGCGTCCAACTCCGTCTCGAGGTTCTCCACGCGCGCCTCGAACTCGGCGATGGTCGCTTGTAACGTATCGCGCTCAGATTTGAGTTGAACAATCTCCTCGTCCGAGACGTCGGCGTGGCGCCATTGAGCCTCGAGTTCGGATTTGAGGGATGCAAGCTGTTCCTTGTCTTCTTCGGCTGACGTATTGCCGGCGTTGGCCCGCGCATCGTCGAGGCATTGCTTGAGTTCGGCGATCTCGGTCTGAAGCTTCTCGTTGTGGCGCTGCAAAGCCGCAAGCTGTTCGTGGTCGGCCTGAGCGGACGGTACAGCGGCTTCCATCGTTTGGAGGCGAACGAGAAGTTCCTCCTTCTCCCGCTTGAGGCCATCGATCGTCTCGCCGCTGACCTCCGTGTTCTTCCACTGCGCCTCAAGCTCCGCCTTCAACTCCTTGAGCTCGTCCTCGCGCTTCAACAGCGTCTCACGCGTGCGATCAAGCTGATTCGTCAACGCCGCAGCGTCCTGAACGAGTCGTGCGCGCTCATCCGCCCACTCCGCCTGCGCCGCCCCGGTCGAATTGCGCGACTTTGCCGAATGCAGGCTGAACTTGCCCGTATCGCCCTCAGCCGCCGCAGCCGTAAGAAGTTCGATCTGCTCCTGAGCAGCGGCGATTCCATCCGCCATCTCCTTCTCCTTATTCTCCTTCTGCCTCAACTTCCCCAACGCTTCCTCTTCCGTGATCCGCGCCTTCTCCGCGACCCGATGCAGCTCGGCGTTCTCCCTTGTCAGGGTACTAAGCTTGGAATGCATCTCGCGCAGCGCAGCGTCAGACGCGGCGTCCATCATTGACCGCTCGAAGCTCTCTTCGCGCGAAGAGTCAACGGCTTCCTGGAGGTTGCCGATGATGCCTTCGAACTCTGCGCATTTCCGCTTGAGCGCGCGGATGACCTTCGTACGCTTAGCCTCGTCGCGCTCCAGCGCCTCTTTGCTAGAGGTCAGCGCGCTGACGAGTGCATCCCGAGCGCGCAGATCGACTTCGTACTGCGCGGCCATCTCCATCTGCACGGCCAACTGCGTCCGTAATTGCCAGAGCGCATCCTCCTCGACGCTCGCGGTCCTTCTGTGCATGATCTGCGGCGGACTCGGCGGCAAGACAGTGCCAGGCGTGTAATACGTCGTAGCATTGGCACTGAACGGATCGGGCGGGGGTTTATTCTTCTTCAGCTTCGACGACTGGCGTTTGGGTTCGAGAACCAAAGAAGCGTTGGAAGTATCGCGGATGTCCGCCTCTGGGCGAGGTGTAGATGAACGGAGGAGGGACTGGAACATTGTATCACTCATTGCGCGGTTCCGGGAGGGCGGGCGGCCAGGGTACGCTTCGGCCAGTGCGGAGGCGGAGAAGCGACTCGCGTCTGTAGCCGGCTCGGGCGCGCGGAACACGCTCGAGCCAAACGAGAACGAGTGTGAGCGGTCGTGGCTTGGCGCCGTGAATACCGGTCCGCCGCTGCTCCCATCGCCCTGCATGCGACTGGGAGCGCTTGACGCATGCGAAGTCTGTGAGCGGCTGGACGAAGCCATGGAGAAACCCGAGTCGCGGGACGAGTCGCCTTCGAAGACTTCGACGGCGTCGTCTAGCATAGGCACACCGGTGGTGGGGATGGGCGGTAGATCACGAGATGTAAGGTCGAAGATGCCGCTTATTTCGGGCGGAGGGAGGGGCGTGAAGCCACCTTGGAGCTTGATCGAGTCCGTAGGGCTCATAGGCGGCGTTGTGGTCCCCTCCTCGGGTGGTGCGAACAAGTCATGTGCGAGTGGTTTGCGAGTCCCAGACCGCGGCAGTGTGACCTTGTCTCCATTGGCAGACGTCTTGACCTCCTGTAACCGCTCGATGAGCGGCGTGTCATCCATCTCCGACGTCGATGCAGCGGAAACGTCCGGCGAGATAGTCTTATAGGCGTCACGCGAGAAAAAGCGAACGCTCTGGCCCGTTGCCGGGGTGTTCTTGTCCTTGAGGATGGACCGGATTGAGCCGAAGCGGCCTTCGATGGGTGTCGCGGGTGTGCGGACGCTGTCCATTGATGGGCGAGAAGCCGTATCGCTCGACATGCGCACTGAACCACCGCGCATTGAACCCGTTTCACGACTGTTGAGAGATGCTTGAGATGCTACAATCATTACATTCGTTCATTAGCAGAGTGAATTTCTGGATACGGTAGAACGACAGGCGGAATGGAAGGAGGGCGCATCAACTCGAACCGCAGTCGCGAGTGAGAAAGCCCAAATAGGCGCGGAAGGGACGACGGGTGGAATGGAGCGAAGGACTTACGATGACTAGACAAATTAACACTGCTCTTCACCTTCTTACTCAATCCAAACTTCGCCAATCCAGGACTGGGCAACGAGCCCTCGCCCGAAACACCCATGCTGCTCGGCACCTTGCTCAACCGCTTGAGCATGCCACGTTTCTTGCCGGGACTCGGGGGAGGGCTCATGGTCTCCGGTACGGTGGGGAGGTCCTTCATAGGCGGCATATCGTCGTGGAAGACGGAGAGGTTGGGGTGCGCGTTGAGGACGGCAGAGAAGACGCCCGTCTCGTCGTCGTCGTGGGATGGGGCGTGCGCGGCGAGCTCTTCTGCCGCGGGTGCGCCTCGTCGAGAGCCGGACAGCGCGCCGGAGATTTTCGACCACATATGTTGAAGTGCAGCTCTTGCTGGCTGATGTCGGAGAGTGTTGTGTTAAGGCCTCCGAGGCCAGGGGCGGTCGTGGTCGAGGTCAAGGCAAAGCGTCTGAACGGGTCGAGCAGGAATCGAACAGGCACGTGAGATGATGTGGTGGTTGATGTTCGCTGAATTCTGGGCCACCACGAGGCCGGACGCGTGTACGCGCTCCACGGATATGAGGCCTTTGCTTGACGACGGCCTGGGAAGAGGCTGTGTAGGGTACCTGGAGGACTGCGCTCAGGCGGAGGAGAGGAAGGAGTGTACGAAGGGAAGTAGGAGAGCGAGACATGATGTTTTGTGGCCTTCCGAGTGGACGTCTATAGACGACACATAATTTTATTCAACTCTGGCATCATGGTACCGATACACTTTGCTCAAATACACCGTCCCAAGCCCGTAAGTACATATTCGTCCTGATCTACGCTTTCCATCTTCATCAAGGCTGCATTGCAGGGCATCTACATCATTGAGAGGCGTCGAGCGCCTCGTTGGCTTCATCGGCTGCGCCGTTGAAAAGCAATACTGTTTGCTAGTCTGCAGCATATCAGACGCGGCTCAGCACTTATCCACGTGTGTTGATGTGTGTATGATTGATGAGCCTGAGGCCTGAGAGCGTCAGAAGTACTTAGCTTTGTGGTTTCTCGCCACCTGCTTTCAAACTGTTGTATTGAACCGACTGTGCCGGGGGTAGCGTACAGAAAGCAGATCCAACGATATCCTACAACACGAAGTCCACACAATCCACGCCCACAGACCCGCATTACAACCTTGACAAGAACCCAGACCCAACACCGACCTCCTCCCTCCCAACTCCCGGCCACTCATGCCGTCCCTTCTTCAACACCCCCTCGCCAAACACAACGCCCAGCGCCTCCTCAACACCTCTCACGAAGACGAACTTCATGCTCTCCTTGATCTCCCTCGGTACATCGTGCTCCACGTCTCTCCTATTCGCATAGGGTAAGAGCAAACGCTTGCACCCCGCCCGGTGCGCGCCGAGGACTTTCTCCTTGATCCCGCCTACGGGCGTGACACGTCCGTGGAGCGTTATCTCGCCCGTCATGGCTGTATCGGCTGGGACGGAAGCACCCGTGAGGAGCGAGACGAATGCGCAGGCCTAGTACGTATACATGCATCAGCTGCGATATACGGTGTGCATGAAGAAGTAAGAAACGCACGATAGCGACGCCGGCACTGGGCCCGTCCTTCTTCTGTGCTCCACTCGGCAGATGCAGATGGATGTCGATCCCACGCTCATTCAGGACGTCGTGCGGTAACCCTAACCTAGATGCGTGCGCGACGACCCAGCTCAACGCGATCTCGCCGGACTCTTTGATCACCTGTGCTTGGTATGAGTATCGTGTGTGATGAGGCGGACAAAGAAGAAGTGCGAGTGACGTACATCTCCGAGTGAGCCCGTAAGCTTCAACCGTCCTTTACCCGGTACGGCAATGGACTCGACGGGCATAACTTCGCCTTCGCCCATACCCGTCACGACCAGACCGTAAACGACGCCAGGTCTTGCCTCGCGCTCGCGCTCATCACCATCCCATCTCGGAACGCCCAAAATGGTCTCGAGATCTTCGACCTTCACCTCCGGGTCGTACGACTTTGAGCTTGACGAGGACGATGAGGAGGAGGACGGCCGTTCGGCGTATTCAACGGCTTTATGCCTCACAACACCCGCGACGGCCCTCTCCAGGCCTCGAACGCCCGCCTCGGCCGTATACCCCCTAACCAACTCCCCCACAACATCCTCCTTGACCACCACATCACCCTCTTTCAACCCACACCGCTCAACGACCCTCGGCATCAAGAACCTCTTCGCGATCTCGACCTTCTCTGCACTGGTATATCCCGGTACACGCACGATCTCACATCGGTCGCGTAATGCTGGCGGGATAGTGTCGAGTGTGTTTGCGGTGCAGAGGAAGAGAACCCCCGAGAGGTCGAGAGGGATGTTGAGGTAGTGATCCCTGAAGGAATGGTTCTGCTCTGGATCGAGGACTTCGAGCAATGCGGCGCTGGGGTCGCCATGTGCACCGCCACCTTGTCCGACCTTGTCTACCTCATCGAGTAGTAAGACTGGATCGGGCCGTCCGGCGCGGCGCAGGGCTTGCACTATGACGCCGGGGGATGATGCGACGTATGTACGTCTGTGACCGCGGATCTCGCCTTCGTCGCGGACACCGCCCAGGGCGATGCGTTGGAAGGGTCTGTTCAGCGATCGAGCGATTGAGGAGCCGAGGGAGGTTTTGCCCGTTCCGGGCGGGCCGACGAAGAGGAGGATTGGGCCGCGCGCTGTGAGGCGCTTGCGGGTGGATTTGGGAAGGACGGGTACGGGCGTGGGAGGTGGCGCCTTTACGAGGGGAGGTGGTTGATCGTTCGTCTCGGATGAGGAAGAAGCCTTGACAAGCGCCCGTTCCGTTACAGCTTCCTGCTCCTTCTCCGCCTTGCGCTTCTCCTCGGCCTCCTTCTCCTCCCTCGCTTTGGCTTCAAGTTCCGCCTTCGCTTTCTCCTCGGCGACAACTTTCGCCTCCTGTGCCTCCAACAATCTCACGACGGCGAGGTATTCCACCAGCCGGCGCTTAACGTGGTCAAGCCCGAAATGATCGGAATCAAGTTGGGCGCGGGCGGCTGCGAGGAAGTCCGGGGTAGATTGGTCTTCCTTTACCTCCTGTGGTTCAGTGGGTTGGTAGGAGGCGGGCCAGGGAACTGAGACGATCCATTCGATCTGCATCATATGTCAGATCAAAGCGATGCAGATATAGGAGAATATGCACATAGCCGCGCACGACGCCCCACTCGGCGCTTGCGCTGGGTATCTTCTTCAACCTCTTCCACTCCGCAACGGCAACTTTGCGCTCCTCCGTGCCGGCGGCTAGCAGCTCGATCTTCTTCCTCAGCTCGTTCATGCCGTCAGGATCGGATTCGGGGTCGGCCGTCGTGTCGAACTCATCAGGTACACCTGTCAGATATATGATCAGCTGGAGCGTGACGCGTCAAGTGGGCAGTAGGCTTACCAGATGGAGAAGTCGAAGCGTCACTCGGGCTTCGCGGTCGGCCGGCTTTGAGCGCTTGTAAGCCGGAGGATGCGTTCTGCTTCTCCATGAGCCCAGTGAGGTTTCTAAGCATTTGGTTGGGCTCGAGCGCGAGCATATCTACCAAATCATGAGTTCCCTACACGCAAGAACCATAAGCAATGTTACACACGGAGTCTCTCCCTATAATCGACGCCCAACAGCCCGACGAGTGCATCGGCAAGCATGACGACCCTCTCGCCTCTCGCCTCCTCTAGCACACTGCCCAGCGCACTCCACCTCTCCCTCGCGCGGGTATTCTGACTGTCATCATTCGCGAGTCTATCGAATAACTTGAGCGCCGCGCTCTTGAACGCCCGTACAGTCTCAGACGCGATCTTATTAGCCGCGTTGATAGGTTCATATGGAAGTCGTTGGAGTGGTGCGGCGAATGGGTCGGCCTGAGATGCAGTGGGAAGTCGAATGCGGGTGAGGCCGGCGAGAGTGGCGATATATGGTGCAGGTCTCCTCGTGGGACTTCGTACGAGCTGCGTAATCCTGGCCAGGACACCCCATTCATATAACCTCGTCCCGTCCTCATCGTCATCTGAGTTCTCGGAGGAGGGGACAAGAGGAACTGCTGCCACGCGAGGGCTGCCATTGGATGAGGCGTCGATTAGGCGCGCGAGAGCGTCGGCTTGGATGCGTGTGAGACCGAGGTTGAGGATGCCACCTGTCAGGAGCACGAAGGGATAGGGGAGCGCAAGCACTGGAATCGTTTGAAGCGGTTTGTCTGGAGAGGAGGTCATGGTGGTTGTAGCAGTAGAGAGTATAGTGTGGGGTGGCACAGTCAGCTCGAGACGCGGGGAAGCCGGCGCGGGAGCATGTGAATACCGGACTCCGACTATGTGGGTCCACGTTTCTTGCTCTTGACCGTCATGGTCGTGTGCTTTGAGCACTTTCTATGACCGTCGCTCAGCTTCTCTTTTGCGACTAGTAACATATGCGAATGGCGATTGAACGGTGGACACGTACCAACACTATCCTGGCCCTCCGATGCTCGCATCACTCAAACCTATCACCGTCGACATCTTCCGTTCCTTCAACTTCCGCCAATGTATGGTCGTCGCGTAGCTCAGACCACCATATTTGATTGCTTCTCACCACAATGAATGGCCTGAATTGACATACGTTTACCCAGCAGTCGTTGTGTGGATCATCATCGTGATCGTGCATCAAGGAAGGGGCGAGTTAACCGCCTTCTACCACCTTACACAGCAGTGCATCCCTCCGCTTCCCACTCCCGTCACGAGCGCGAGGACTCATCGAACGTGTGTGATGGTGTGCTAGGATGTGGACAGCAAGCTTCTACGAGTGGTGCTGGGCGTCCTTCGTCGCCTACCTCGGTCCAGCGCTTGAACGCATCTCGTAGCGGCCTCGAGTAACCGCGGCCAATGCAATACTGGGCCCAGATATGACTTACCGACAAACCAAGCCTCGACATGCGACCAATTCCTGGATAGATTGCACGCTGCGCTGGTGATCCGTGTAGTAACCGGGCGCCTACGGAAGGAAGCCGATGAAGTCGGAGTGGCGTACTCTGTGTGAGCGTGCAGTACGCTGCGGGTATAAGAAAGAGCGAACGTAGTACGGGTGATATCATCTGTACATCGTTTCCTTTGCCCTTCTCTGTGTCGTTCGTGCTTGCCATGTCGCGCTCAACTGCAATGGAGTCGAGGGAGTACGGTGAGCGGCAAAATTGATACCGTGCACGTTTTTGAAGGCCAGACAGTTGACTTGAATTATAGTTAACTTCGAGATTATCTCGCTCCTATTCGATGGGATGTACCTGTCAGTCTTCGCTGTTTGGGCCGTTCGAACGACGCTGACGGTGAAACCCCAGTCTTGAAATGATATCTTTCATGAATTTCGACTGGGCACTTTTGACTCGCAATAAGCACGGCGGACGAACCTCACTCTTGGGGAAGAGTGTGAAAGCGGTACGTGCATACTTCGTCATTGATAAAGATCCCAACTGACCATGAGTGCCTACGCAGACATATCTACTTTGCCGTTATTGCTCTTTGATCTCATGCGTGGCAGAGCTCTATAGCTTCTTCAACGTCTCGCGAGGGTCACTTTCGTGCGAGGTTTGTTATCTTATCTTCAGCATAGCACGACTACTAAGCACAACCCACAGGTTCTGTTTCGGATTGTAACCGTATGTCCTTGATCATCGCTATCGTCCGCCTTCACGAGCGCATGCGTCATGATACTAGGGAACAGCCATACTAGCGGCAACATTCTCGTCTGCCTTGATTGCTATTCGCGCGTGAGTACCCCGCTCGGGATGGATCCCGTCTATCAGCTGACTTCTCCGTGCGAGGCAGGGTAGTGGTGTGGGTCTACGATGTGCGACTGACATCCTTGATCGTTCTCGTTCTGTTAGCGGTTCTAGCGATCAACATACGGAGTGAGCCTGAAATCCGCGTTCTCACACCTCTAGGCTAATCTGTTTTGTATAGCATATGTCATCGTACGCTAGTCTATCCATCGGACTCCACCCGGCTGACTTGGATCCTCCAGCTATCATCTTCGTACGACCCCATCAACATGCTCTGCGCTTTGGATCACATGCACGTCAACTTACCCAACGTCATCGCCCTCCTTAGCTGCGATTCTATCATCCTCGCGGCGCTTTTCGCGGGTCTTTATCGCTGGCACGAGCCTGGATATGGTGAAGGCAGCTTTAGCCTCTGGTCGCTTCTGTGGAGGCAAGGTGTCCTGTATCTCGCGCTCGCGTCAACTCTCGAGATTCCGGCGTTGGTACGTCTTCAATGCTAGATCAGGCTTCCCGAGATCGGGGATACCTTTGACGCGCGTTTCTAGGTGTTCCTCGCGTTAAACAGAGATTGTAAGTCGACTACTCCCTCTCGAGATATATGTCCGACTTATGCGCCATGACTGTTTCACAGCGATAATGGATGCGGTGAGACGATCATCACGACTTCCGCTTCTCTCTCCCACACTGATGAACATGGTACAAAGATGTTCATGAGACCAATGGGTCAGTACTTCTCATACCACAGAGCGACGCACGTTGATAGACCGCTGACTTTGCCGTACCGCAGTCGTCATACTGTGAGCTCGATCTATATCAAATAGCCCAAATACCTCTGACTCCGGTCACATCGGCAAGCACTATCGCAACAACGCGCTTTTACAGGTCGTTGAGCTCTTTCACGCCCAACCAAACGCGCGACGACTTCACGAACACCGTGTGCGTAACAGGACCGGATGTTTTGCGAGCCCAACCCACTCATGTGCCTTCTTACATAGACGATTTGCAGCGGTTGATGTTGAGACGACAGATGAAGCTGGAAGCAGCATATTCGCTGATGCCAGCGCCCGTTGAAGGAGGAGCGGACTAGGAACTTATGCAAACCGCAACCTTTACGAGTATCAGCCGGTAGTTATCTGTGCATGCATTCCCGCATGGATGGAAAAGAACACCTCGTGAAACACGCTACGGTCCGGTCAAGTACATCTGGGAATCGGCTTCCTGCTAAACCGCGCTAGACAGCGATTATTTTAGCTGGGTTTAGTTGTGTCCTCTAAGCCACTAAAAGCC